TGGTTCACACATATACAGGATATTATTAAGAACTTTGGAGCATGTAATGCAAAACTCAACCCCTTAAGTACTCGAAACAACACACAACAAGTAAATCATTTATAAATCCATTTTGTGCCATGAATTGTTAGCCTATTCAGTATGGGTTGTGCCTTGATACATGCACGATAACAGAATTCATGAGGAACTTAATAGTTGTCCAATTCTGCACTTATTATTATCATTTTGCCAAATATTTTTATACCAAGATGAGAACTCTATACAATACCAAACTAAATATTATCAACAACTACGATTACAGGAGTACTGCAAATAGCAAAAGGCTTATGGTAATATTGAACGCTAGCATAGTTTTACAGGATAGCTATTCTTTTTACGATTGAAATTTACTGTACAGTTCCGCTTGGTTTCTGCCTGAAAAAAATCGCCAAGTGGTATGGATTGTTCGTGAAATCTGGAAGCCCGCTACGTGAAGCAGGTTTTTTAACCTTAATGTTGATAATGTTGGAAAAACTAGTCTTGGGGAAAATTGTGAATATTGCCAAATATGTTGTGATAAGTTGCGATTTTGGCTATTTTTGGTAATAGTAACCCTTTCGTATGACCGAGATTTTGAATTGCTGTGTTTGGTTGCACGTGCGTAATATTTTATGAAAGTGGTGCCTGAAAGTTTGCTTAGTGTTATAAATGAGTATATTGTTCCAGATACAACTAGTAATTTCCGGAAGGAGTACATAAAATAGACAGAATGGATTTATGGCTTTCTTGAATGCTATTATATGTATTTATCCGCCATTCACAGGTGATGAGCCAAAACGACCAGATATTTAATTGAATTGCTTAAGTAGACGAGATGCTGGTGGGAGGGGATTTTCATCTGCAGAGAACCCGTTGGCGTTGCATTTTACTTGCCAAGCTCGTGGTTCGGCGACGATGAGCCAAGCCGTAAACGTGATTTTTAGTGCATGTAAATTCAAGTTAGCAGACAAAGCAATATATTAAGCATATGGTAGCAAAAATTTCACAGATAAAAAGCATATAGATGTAAAACTAACTGGTTAAACGTGATATACGAAAATAAATTTGTATTGAATTCAAGTTAGCAGAGAAAAGAATAAATTAAGCATAAGACAATATACAGTCAAAAGTCGTTAATCCGGACTCGTCGGGACTTCGGCGATTCCGGCTTATCGATTTTTCAAGATTATAGATCATCAGTTTAAATCTGGTAAAATGGCATGCGAAATTATAAAATTAAAAATATGAAACCGTAATTTACGAAATAAAGAACAATTATGATTTAAAGGATATCAAAATTTACAAAAAAAAAAAAAAAAAAAAAAGCTTAATATTTATTTTACTTTATTAAACATTTCTTTCAATGTAAGTTGTTTAAGTTGCTTTGTTTTTTACGTGATAATACATTCCCTTTAATTCCAAAAACAGACATAATTTCTTGTTCAGTTACAAAGTTCCGCTGTTCAAGTCCTATAATTGCTGTGTCGAGAATACTGAATAATTTGTCAATCGAAATTTTTTCGTTTTCAATAACCTCTGTCACTTTCTTCGCTATCGGAAGTGAATTATAATGATGAGGCATTTGATTTAAATCATATCAAAGACGGAGTACATCGAGAGGAAATACCACACATTTAGTAAGGCAATTATAAGCCAAAATAAAATAAAAACATCTGCCCTGAAGATAAGGATAGTGCTGACAGATCAACTTCCAATTCATTGCGCTCCGCGGCGTTAAAGATAAACAAAGTTTAGATAAACAAACGTTTTAAAGTTTAGATAAACAAAGGATATGCCTTTATCCATTTTTTGCAGCAATTCCTACTTTTTGTTTAATGGAACTTCCGAAAGATACTTTCGCTTTGTAGATCCATTTACATATTAGTAAATATATATCGGAAATTCTATTTGAAATAATCGAAAGTTCAAGCTTACTTTTATAAAATTGCTCTAACAGTCGACAAAAAATAATAAGCCGGATCCAATTCGAAGATTAAGGAACAACGCAATCTGCAACATTAACTGAAATAGATAATTAGATAATTTTAGCTTAGCTTATCCCGTCCGGTATACATTAAACGCGCATTCGTAAACATATTTTCTGCACGCGCACACGCAAATTCGCAGCCGTAAAGGTCTTACGCACATGCGTCAATGCAACGCATGCGCAGAAAGTTTTTAGCTTTGAGGTCTGGATTATAGATCATTCCGGATTATGTGTGTCCGAATTAATGACTTTTGACTGTATAAGCATTTATAACGGAAATAAAAATTCATTTAAAAAATATAAATTAGTATTAATATACTGAAATTAACCGGTTTAAACGTGATAAACGAAAAAAATTTGTCTTAAATTCCATTTAACACAGAAGAAACAATATATCCCTTACACCAGCAGTGGTTTGTGATTTTGATGACCTATGGTAATGCATCAAAACTATTCTGTCATCTTTAGATAATCAATAATATTTTTATTTCAATTTAATCACCTATTTATGTCACACTTGCCATCCTCTGAAAGGTTATTGTTAGAAAAGCATTAACAATATATTACCTTGTTAAAATTTTACACCATAAAAATTGATTTATTCTCATAATTTTAGATGACAATAACCAATAATAAAAATAAAAGCATTACTTTATTATTTAAAATGCACATACACATTTTTGCGGAAACCTCTTGGTTCTTTCAGCTGTTAATAATTAAGAACACAACGTAAACAGCCGTGTTACAAATTAGCAGCTGATCTTTGGAATATGGTAACAGGTAGTTTGGCGAAATTTTGGAGGCGATAAAGGTTACTACCTAGGACTTTGGTAATAATGTGAGAAGTACTGTTCCGATTACGCATTATTTTGTGTGAAGGACATGAGAGATCATGAGATATGTCATGTGACATTAATGGACGAATTACAGTTCTTTAATCAGAAAAGGGGATTAATTTGGAAAAATTATTTTGTATTAAGCTTCATTGTGTGTTGTGTGAAATAGTGTTGATTAATTTTCTGATTGCATGGCGCTATGTAAAGTGAATTCTAAATTTTTAATGCGTTTATCTGATAATAATAATAATAAGTTGAGACTGTGTGAAAGGAAGGATATTACAGTTAAGTTTAAATGGCGGTGCATGAAATCTGGGGTATAGGTGAAATTTTATTAATTCTTATACTGGTCAATAGACTTCCAGTTGACTACTGGATTCGGATTTAGAATTAGCAGTAGTACTGATGCCACGAATGAAGTTCTGAAGAAGATTAGGTAAGTTAGTCTTTTTAATCATTTGAGGATATTATTTTTATGCATTGTATAAATGTAAGCAGTTAAATAAATTAATGTGGTATTATGAAAAATGTTATTAGCAATGCTTTAGTTTAAAGTAATTAGGATTGTAATCTATTTTATTCATTAATGTATGTGGTTAATTATATTTTAAGTAGTGTTTTTTAATTTAATTATATTTAATTTAATGATCGTGATTTTGTGAGTCATATATTTGTAGTATTTTGGCATACATTTGAATAGTATGGATATAGTGAAAGAGGTGTGCGCAATGCCATTTTGTGCAATTCTGGGATGTTTTTTAAGTAAAAAATAAGTCGACGTGTATATGGTTTAGTGATATTTTAATTAAATGATAGTTATTTTGTGAATTTATGTTTGTAGGAATTTGGTATACATTTTCAGTTGAAGTAAAACATGTATGGAAATAATTTAAATATTTGACACTAAGTACTTGTAACTATTTTTAATGTTTGCGTATAAATTCGTTAGTGACGTTTATAATATAATAAGAGGTAAAAGCTTTTGGATATTTTATTTATTTTATACGTGGAAATGTTCATCCTTGGAAAGGGTATGTACTTTTTCGCGATCAGGTAATTTCATATATGTGCTTTTTATCGAGTTTAAAGATTCACAAAATTTTCCTGCATTTTCGTGCAAAATTTTGTAATTTATGAGAAAATAGCAGTGTAGATGGATAAAGTTAAGAGTGTGTGCAATGCCACTTTTGTGCAATTCTGGGATTTTTTTTAAGTAAAAATAAGTCGATGTGTAAATGGTTTATGTGTATGTGCTATTCTGAAAAACGCGCAAGGAGTTTGCGATTCTGCACTTTTTCCCAATTTTGCAGTTAATATTTGTCATGATTAAGCAGTTTGTTACATAAAATTTCTAGCATAAGTGTAATTCGGCTACTAGAGTGTTGGAAAAAGGTGTTGAGTAAAAAAAGAAAAAGAAACATGTCTTTACTCCGTGAAGACAAAATGGCGGCGAAAAAAAAATAGAGGGTTGCTGTAGCAGAGTTGGTCGCCAAATTTTCGCCAAGTTCCCATAATCCAAAGATCAACCCAAATTAGCTTTCACCCCTTCCACCGTATTTTCTTCCTTTCATCCCGAACTGAGAACCGGCACCTATCTACGAAAATATTTCTATCTATTCGTTGTTAAAAAATTCAGAAAAAATAATAATAAATAAGAGAAGAATAATATATAAATCTGCAAATGCGAACAATGACAGTGATAATTCAACAAAATGAACGCAAGAGGAATGGTTGCAAACTTCGAATAAGCGAATAGGATAAATCTGCTGGGTTACCATATTTGAAATATTATCGCCAAAGTTGGCGATGTTTACATTTACCAGGTTCTCTCTGCGCTTCCGTGGGAAGTGTTAACGTATGCACGTAAAGAAAAGGTATGTTAAAGAATTGATGTTTTATTAGTCCAAGGGGGCTTTGTCCCTGAAGGACTATTGTTTTCGTTTTGCGATTTTGCGTTGAAAATTGCTAAGCAAATTTCTGATGGGCAATTTTGCGTTGAAAATTGCCAAGGAAATTTCTGATGGTTAAAAGATTACAAACGACCAAGTTCGAATTTAAAAAAAGAATGAAAATTTTATACTTTGAAACTTTAATGATTAATAACAAACAGTACTCTCTACTTTTTTTTTTTTAGCAAAGTGAGAAAAATAAATACATACGCTATCACGTGCTTTTTCCCCAACAATAACAATCAAGGATCGATGGTGAGATGAAACACAATTCTCTATCAAAATACGAATCCTATTATCGATTTTTTTGCGAACCATTTTATTTTTGTAAAAAAATTAATAAACGTTTAATGGAAACAACACTACGTAACTTTCTCAGGGTCCCTGACTAATAACGTAAAATTCAACCATTAATATAAGTAAATTGACATGTTTCTCTTCCAGCACATCAAACATGTGCGCCGATGTCTTGTTTTGCACCTTTAAGGCTTTTTTACGCAGGGTAAAAAATCTAGCTTCGGAGGGAAGTAAAGCCAAGGAATCTAGAGAGTGCCAAAGAATCTCCTTACAGATTCTTTGTAAAGAATCCTTACAGATTCTTTGGTAAAGCAACGGAAATAAGAAATTTTTAAAACCAGCGGAAAGGGTGGGTTACAAGAAAAGAAATATAATGAGGCTCATACAATGTTAAAAATATTATGGGGCTGAAAGAATAAAGAAGATGAAAGTTCATAACGAAGGAGCTTAACTAAAGTCCGTTACAATTATGCGACTACAAACGCTGACGGTTTACGGAAGTTAGCGGGTCTCACGTGACTGGTGGCAACAATACGTCACAAACTATTTGTCTGGGTTACTATAATGGCTGTTTTCCATTTTTATGTGAATTTCGAGAAGTTTAGTTTATAGAAAATCCTTAATATCATGATGTAAACAAACACGATGGCAAAAAATATTTGGTAACTACATCCATTACGTATTGATAAATGTTCGACATGATTACATATAACTGCATTAATAACCAAATAAAACAAACTTAGATTACAAATGTTTATGTAATGGAGCATGTAACTAAAACTTCAGAATTGTAGAATCCGGAAGATTTTTTTTTCCAAGTTAGAAGTATAACAAAATACGAGCAGTGTTCTAATAATTTTTAAATCTTCATATCTTTAATATTACTGCTGTTTTGATAACATGATCATAACATAACTGATGATCATAACATCATTTAAAATGAAAGCACGAGAAATATTTTTAATGGGATTATTAAAGTATCTGTAATAAAGAAAAAAAAAAAAAAAAAGTGGTTAGGAATAAACAGTAAGTAGAAGGAAGATTACTAATAATATATATTAATATTGTATATATGTGTATTTTGTGAATTGTGAAATAATGATATTTGTTCTTTTATAATTTAATAAATAAAATTGTGAAAAAATTATTTGTTTCATTTATAATTTATAAAAATTATGAAAAGCTACGTACTTTTTAAAAAATCATTTGCACTTGTTTTCATTATTGTATTTAAGTTTTATTCATTCTTTGAATCAATATATAAGAATATAAGAGAATCGTATACATTTTACGAGTAAAAATATTATACGCAGTATAAATGGAGATATGTTACTGTAAGATCCTAAAGTCTGGTAAATCCTAGGTTTTACCAGTAAAACCTAGCTTTTACCAAAGTAGCTTGTTAAAAGCTCAAGTATGCTTTAATATGATTCCACTTCAGCCTTTGAGGTAAAACCGAGGAGTTACCAATGCCTTCTGGTAAAATTGAAACGAGGGATTTAAATCACTTGAATAAGCCTCCGCACACAAATTCTGTCATGACACTTTTCTGTTCCTGCCTCTCCTTATTTGCACCATTCGCAGTCTAACTTGGATAATTTAAACAAGTGTAAGCAGCTACGATCTAAAAAAGAAGAAGTTTGGGCGCAAGTGCAGAATCGCCCACTATCGATGTTCACATGGACAAAGTCAAGGGAGTGCGTAGTGCCGAGTTGTGTAATTCTCTGATGTTATTTTAAGCAAAAATAGGTCGTTGTGTACATGGGACACTGAGTTTGTGCAATTCTTAGATGTTATTTTCAAGTGGCGATTTTGAGAAATGCTAAACAGGGGTGATTCTGCACTTTCCCTGAAGTTTGTTTCCATTTTTACATACTTTGCTTTTTTTATTTTGGCTGATGGGAAAATGAGTGTGATGTTATGCGGAAAAAGATTATGACATTTTGTCTGAATTGTAAAAAATAAGCCTGATAACTGCTTTATTTAACAAGTGAGAAATATGTGATGGAGAAACAAACAGTTCATTACAGAAGGTTGAAAACGTTGTCGTATTCTAATGGAGGAAAGGACAAACTTATAATATCACTATTTGCAAAAATCCTAATTATGCTACAACTGATGAAGTATTCAACACAGCACTCAATTGCATTGGCCATGGTGAAAGAACTGCATGATTAAGAACTGAATCGAAGTACAAGATGTAACAGTAGAACCTATTTTCACATATTTAAGACTATGCGAACCATGTCAGAGAAAACAAAAAACTGTGAAAGAGGGATTGTAATTAAATCAGTTGTGCATAGTGAAATGAATTCTCGATGCCAAGAATATTCTCGATGCCTAATATATATGCAGTCCAATACTGATCATGATATGAAATTCATTGAGTGCATCAAGATATCTGCACAATTGTCCTACTCCGATGTTTACACAGTAAAAGAATGTTGAAGTAGCTATCACTTTCTTGGATATTTTCATAGCTTTTGGAGCCCTGAGCATTCTTCACTCGATAATAGGAGGGAATTTGCAACAAATCAAATCATAAACGTTATGTGAATGTGGAGTGATATAAAAATAGCTCACTGAAAACCGAGACACAGTCAGTCACAAAGTTCTGTCGAACGGGTGAACCAGATGTTGAGAACATGTTGGAAACAAATAGATAGAAATTGGTCAGAAGGATTAAATTTGTTCAAAATAAAAAAACAAAGGCATATCAGGAGGATTCAAAGGTCATCTTAATGAAGCTATCTGTGATGTCCTGCAAAGTTGTCTTATGAAGCTAGGACTTGCTAACTCAGTTTGCCACATAATTTGATTAGTAACAGACACTGAACAGGATTAGAAAAAAGTTATAAGTATGTATTACTAATGAATGTGTGATTCTACAGAAAATGGGAAAACATCTCGAATCAACAGTGATTTAGAATTGCAAGATAATAATAATGCATATGAAAATAATCAGACAGAACAATGGAAGCAGATACTAAAGTTGAATTGAAATGAAAGAACCAGATATATGCTCTGACACACGGGTGCAATATCAAGAAAACCAAAATGTGAAAGTGTTTCGAGAGACAGTTAAGGAAAGGACTTCAGAAGCAGGCAAAGAAGATGAAGACTGTGTCTACTAAAAAACTTTCCGAAACCTAAATTTGGACAATACTTTTGGAAAACTGTAAAATAAAAGTACCTGTATTGATAGATCAAAAAATGGATCCAAATCAATAATAGCCGTTATTAGAGCTATTTAAGATGATGAGTTTTTATGTTTTGATAGTAAGTTCGGTAATTAAAATCGTTGTAAACAGGAAGCAGTTATTTTTTGTAAGAAAAATTTTTTGAACATTGAAGAAGTTGGTATAGAAGAAGTAAGTGTGTGAAATAGTAAAAAAAAAAAAATTTTTTAGTGGGGTACAAGGACTTAGAAAATGCAGCTGTTAAAAAAAGTGTACTACGAACATCGTTTGTGCAAATCTGATCATTGTAAATCCATCTTCAAATGTAAAAAGGTAATAAAAGTATTGTAGTAGTAATAAAGAAAAACATGCTACAGTTTTCTTATTTTTTTAGTTATGTGTATTTAACTCTCCCTTATATGTTGTGGTATTCAATTCCGGTTAATCTTTTTTTTTTTTTTTTTTTTTTTTTTTTTTTTTCTCTTGTTTCAATCTTAGAACTTTGTATTTATCAAGTAATAAAACAGAAGTGCTTACAGTATCATCTGTATTCAGGCTTACAGTACTGGATATTAAGATCCTTCAAGATTCAGTGTATCAAGTTTGACATGTTTGATAGTGATACAAGTAAATATGTTACGAATAAGAAATATTTAATTTCAGTTATTATTCTTGATATCAAGTCATAAAAATGTTATTTATCTTGTAGTTGAAATCATATTTTAGGATTTATGAGTTAAATTTCGTAAACTATATACTTGAAAAAGAAAACTTTGAAAATTTGTCCTTAGGTGATAAAACAATATAAAATAGCATATAAGCATAAAATTAGAATCAATAGCCAGCCAGAATTTAAATTACTAAAGTTTAAATGCTAAATTTAAATTACTAAGTTTAAAAATAGTGTGAAAAAAGTCTCATGTTATTTCGAGCTTCCCAATTTTTAAGTAGAGAATCTTTATTAGAGCAGGACAAAGAAGGAAGTGATCACTATCCATAAAGCCAGAATGCAGAGATATCAAGACTATTAAAAATTCCGTCTTACTCATGTGGACAGCCCAGCAATGAATTCCACTGCTAATCAAAACAAACTATTGTATCTTCAAGGGCACCAGTCTAGTAAATCACAAATCCTTGAGTTTTTCCCTCAATGTAAATTAAAAACAAACCCTGCTGAATTTCAAGCTTTTGGGGCTCAAAGTTTTCCGAGAATCTATGAAAGTCTAAGAAGTTTGAAACTTGGGTTGGAAATTTGTATCTCATGAGACATGCACAGTTGTCCAGTTAAGTATAAAAGTAACTCTTAGGGTTGTTTTTTTCAATGCCAGTCAGGTGAAGAATCTGATTTGCATTGTTCCAATTTTTCTTCAAATCC